GTTTTTTTTATTTTTTATTTTTAACATAGCAACCGGTAAACAAATTGAATAGATTTATTAGTTATGACTTAATTTGAATTTATAATTTATTCAAGCTGCCTATGTACCCAAACGAGATCAAGTCGAACGTAGTTCATTACAAGAACAATTTTTTTCTTACAATGAAAAATTTAAAAGAAAGAACTTCAGGTGTAAAAGTGCTTTAAAAAATTTCCATTGATAGGTCCAATTTGTGGTCTACCTTTTTCAACGATCTTGTACGCTCCATTAGTGAATGCACGAGTAACGAGAAATGGACCATCCCATTTAGGCTGAAACTTGTCCCTATTTTTCTTATGATTATAATCGGCCTGCGCACGAAAAGTACTAGATCTCCAACTTGAAATGATCTTGATCACACTTTCTTGTTGAAAGACTTCGACATTCGAGCCTGATAGCACTCGAGGTACATTTGTGCATCTAACATCTTCTCATCCAAAGCTTCTAGCTACTCCAATCGAAGATGGGCATTTTCTTCGTTTGTCAAACCTTCTTGGATGGCAGCTCGAAGTGACAGAATTTGACACTCCAGAAGAAGTACAGCTTCCACCCATATACTAAGGCATAAGGAGTGACTTGTGTTGGAGTTCGATAAGTAGTTCGATAAGCCCCTAAGACTTCACCATTTTCTCACGCCAATCTCTTTTTGATTTGGAAACTTATGATATGCCAAGGACACCATATCGATAAATGATTTGAATACGAATGAAATCTGCAACATTTTCTTTTTTTACTTCCTTCAATGGTACAGCTTCAACCCACTTAGAGAAGTAGTCATCCCGGCGAGGATGTATGCATGTCCTGCTGAAGATTTTGGAGTTATAGGTCCAATTAAATCAAGACCCCATGCATCAAACAACCATGAAGATACTGTTGGATGTAATGGTTCCAGAGGTTGATAAATGAAATTCGCATAGACTTAGCAAGCTTCACATTTTCTTGCATAATCCATGAAGTCTTGTACCATAGTTGACCAGTAATATCCCATCCTATTTATTTGAAAATGGAGTTTAGGTCCAGATTGATGGGCACCCCAAATTTCAAAGTGGGCTTTTTCCACGACATGTGTAGCTTCATCATTACTTAGGCATTGAAGGAAAACTCCATCAAATGATCGTCAATAAAGTGTTCCCTTATAAAAGATAAAGCGAGAGGCACGCCTCTTGATTTCAATTTTTCATCATGGATTAT